GGTACCTCTTCGTTTCTGGACCCTTTGACCACTTTCCATTGCTTAGGACCAAAGACCCTAACATCATCCTATTATCATAGCTACTGCATCTGGTGATGGTTCCTCTTCCTTTGGAGATTCATATTTCTCCCCTCTGTTTGTCTTAACTTATTAGATCATCCACTTGTTTCCTAGTAGTAAAATCCTCGTACTACTGTCTCAACTCCTTCAAAATCCTTGAGGTATTCCCTTTCAATGGCCACCTCTTTGCTGGTGTTTGGAGTTGAAGCCCTCGCACATTAGATTCTACCTCCACGGACCTTTGCAACGTTCCTCCTTCCTTCTCTAGGTTGATGATGATGATCTGTTTGCTAACGTCCGATCAGTTGGTTAATTAATTGAAAAACTACTATCCATCATGTCGATGAGATACCTTGTCTTGAGAGCCTTTGAGATTCTACTTGGGTTGGTCACGTTTCTTTCATCCTTTCTTTCTTACTGGCGATCACCATATGCCTAAATCTCTCATCTGACAAGCCACGACATGTTAACTATATCGCGTCCAAGTCTATTCTTAAATAATCGCACCCTGGCCTACCATCCCTTCATGGCGTACTATCATAGTTATTCACCTTCATATGATTAGAGTAGACTGGAGATTCTATAAACTCTTAAAAGGAGACCCTTGACTCATTTTCCTTTCATTTAAAACAAAACCTTTAAAAATTGAGACCGACATTCCAGTATTCCTTGGCAAACAAGGAATAGAGGAAGACCGACTCTGATACCAAAATGACACACCCTAACCCAGCCGGGTACTACTTTTACTAAAATGCCCTTGACAAATAAATTACTCAAATCTTAAATTGCAGCGGAAAAAATTTTCATAAATAAAATACTGAAAATACACTTGAAGTTCAAGGCAAAGCCCTAACACGTGGGCAAATTAAACTCAAACTTTAAAATCTCAATCTGATCTCAAAATAATTCTCTAGTCTGTACTCATAATCATAAATGTAATTAACTAATAAACTCTGAAGTTGTTGCTACTGAAAACCTTGACTAAGCATCCTCCGTGACGCTTATACTGCTCTCCTCTAGGTGGCTGCCCTCGAACTCGCTGTTCACTAAATGCTCCTCTAGCTCTTCCTCTAGCTCTTCAAACTGGTGAGTGAGATGGGGTCAGTCTACGCCCTTACGTTTAACATCTTATTAATACTTGATCAATTTACTTAACTTAATGTAAGTTGTTTTGTACTTCCACTATTAAAAATCTTGACTCTTAAAACTGTACTGTTAAAGCTCAAATCTCCACTTAAATAATTGACTGGCACTAGGATCCCTCACTAGCTATTCCGGTTGACAACTCATACGTATGAGAAGCCATTCAGGCTTTTCTTAAACTTAAACTTAGTTAGGGAAGTCGTAACGATTCATCCCCCTAACATCTTAAACTTATCGTGGTGGCTCTTCACCACGATTCTCAAGGGCATAACTGCTGCCCATCTTAAAAGTCTCAAGAGCATAACTGCTGCTCTGTCTCAAAGATCTCAAGAGCATAAGTGCTGCTCTATCTGAAAATCTCAAATGACAATGGACTGGCGCTAGTGACTAAAAACACTTAAAACGACTTCACCTTCTTGAAGGTGTGTTACTTCTTAAAAAGTACTTGCTAACACTAACTCATAGACATCAAGCTTCTAGTAAGAAATAAACTCATCCACGATTCACTTCAAATCACAGCTCAACCATCGCACATATCATCAAACATAATCATGCAATATCAAACATGAATCAAATACTGCACGCACATCATGTAAATCAACACTTAAAAATACTCAAAGCAAATACTTGAAAAACCGTAAGGCGTAGAATTTACCCCATTTTAAACTCACCTTACTTCCTTCGGAACTGGCTTGATTGTGCACTTTTGCCCTACTTAGGAGCCGCCTCATGCCCGCTTAATAATGGCTTTCTCTTGCCCGCTTAATCACAATCTCCTGCTGAATCGCCAACTTGCTTGCTTGAATAATGGTCCTGCTTACTTAAGCAGGTAGATAACATAGTAGGGAGGCCTCTTACAATGGCATGTCATCACCTCCCAGTTCGGCTAAGTAATAATTCTGATTACCTCCCAGTTCGGCTAAGTAATAATTCTCCTGCCTAAACAGTTGACGAGTTTGCTTAAGCTAACAGCTCTCCTAGTAGGGAGGGCTTCCCAACAATTTTGCATAAGCCAGGGCTTCCCATCTACGCCGAGGGGTTGCTCTCGGATGGACTTGCCTGCCTGCCTGCTCGCCGCCTGCGTGAGGAGCCTGCTTACAGACCAATTTAATGGACGAGCTTGCTTAGAGACGCTACCGCAACCACCTGCTAGCCGAGCCTGCTTAAGCGCGCAACTCTCCTAGTAGGGAGGGCAATATTGCGCCGCTTTAATCTGGGGAGAATTACCTTGCCGCTTTGCCTTTGTCCGGAGAACTGCCCTATCCTACACACGCTCCGCGCCACCAAGCTGCTCGTAACACCGGTTGATTCTTTCCCGAGAGCAACTCTTCTGCCGACTAGGTTAACCAAGCATCGCGCAGCTCTCGGCCATTAAGCCTCGTCCTCCATAGCATCGGTTTATTCTTCCCCAGGGCGAGTCTTCCACCGCCGAATAGGTTAAGCAAGCACCTCTCATAGCAGAGGGGATGATGCGATTTCTCGATAGACTTTCGGTGGAGAAAAGCCCACGAGGGTTTTGTTTTGTTTGGGTGCTGCCGAATACGGTAAGGCTAGGCTCTAGGGTTTTTAATTAGTCCAAGGGTATTTGTGGAGTTTAATCCGAAACTCAATTAATGTCCGTAGCTTTCTCAATTTGTGTCGAATTTCGATACCGCTTGAACCTATAGTTCACATTTTTCATCCTCATCGATGATACATCGGAACTTGACCCAGGGGTATAATAGTCATTTTAACTTTTGGGGAAAAGCTGGGTGTAACAGCTAATGTTTCTTTTGTTATCGGACAGTTTGCTCTTTTGACCAATCGAAATTTTTCTATTTTAGTTCATCATCGATGCCGAAAAATTTGCTCTACCAGCACTGATATTTCAGTGGCCACTGTCGTCCTAGCCGAACTCAAACCCTAACACAATGTCGCAGCGTTGCTTTGGTGTTCCAAACGGTGGCGCTTCAGTGTATTGTGGCCCAAGACAGCCTTGAAAATATCCTTTCATCGACGTTCTTTAGCCCAGCAATCTTGCGGCCACATCTTTTCACGTTGGCCAAATAAAACTCTTTAGCCAAATAGAACTCTCTCTCTCTCTCTCTCTCTCTCTCTCTCTCTCTCTCTTTTATTTTATTTTATTTTAACAATGCTGTTTTTCTCACCGCAACCGTTCTGATTTTTCTCGCTCTCAACGACGTTGTTTTGGGAATTTATTCTTATTTATTGTTTCTTGTCGGCCTACACAAGTGGCCTCTCTTTCTTCCATCACAAACCCGCAATGCCGTTGGCTGTTGAGCAATATAGGAAAACAATATCTTTATCCCCGGTAGTAAAATTCATTTTTTTTATTTATCAATCCATTGCCGCAAGGCAGTTCTTCCCAAAACAGCTCTGATTGATTGAATTTTTTTTCAACAGAGTTGTTTGGCCGCACCCTCTCTCCCTTCTTTTTTATGTACTTTAATTTAACAATGCTGCTTCGAGAAGCAGACCTGGCGGCCCTCCTTCCCTCAAGGCCGTTTTTTTATTTATTATTATTTTTTTCAACAGAGTTGTTTGGCCGCAGCGTCTCTTCTCTCTTTTTTATTTTATTTTTTTTAAATATATATTTTCGGCGGCCAGCCTCGCGGCATTGATTTTTTAGGAAACAACTCTACACGTGGCGGAGTAACACTGCAGCAACCCACGAACATTCTGTTGGACCCAAAGCTGCTTTACTGAATACTAAAATTTCTGTATCAACCCTTTTCTCGCCAAACGACACGGGTATAATTCTTTTCCTATTCCCTGCCAACGTCGTGATCCCAAACCAAAAACGACGCGAGTATAATTTCATGTGCCAACCCTAAACTTACCCGAGTAAAAAACTTCAACCAACAACGATTCACTGAGCATAAAACCGTACCTCATATTTCTACGCCGCTGAAGTCACCGTCATGTCATTGCCAGGATTTTCGTCGATCGTCGAGTAAGTTCTGCTTTCCTAACTTCGCATTAGCATTGAAGCCTTGTCCCCTCCCAGCTAATGTTATCTCCAACGTTTCATGCGCCCATTCTTGGTCTGGTGAATAGTCGTCGCTGCATCTCTAACCCAACTAACTTCTTTATGAATGCAGCCTCGCCGCGGCTCTCCTCTCGTTATCTCCGGGGAACGACAAGACTTTCTGGGAAACCTGGCCGATGCTGACTTCACTCTCGAGATAGTATCAAAAGATGACAATGAGAAGGGCTGGCTTGGTCGCCTCAGTCGTGACCGGACCACTGCCATTATGGAGTTATTGGACCTTTTTCCAATTCACGAATCTCAGCTTCTGTTTCGTCTCCCCGTTATCAGCCCACTCTTTAAACGGAAGACCCAAGCACTCCATATGTTGGCCCTCTCGTATCCAGACTTTAAACGTTGACATGGTCGGTTGGCCAATGATGCAGCAACTGTATCTCAATGGCAAGCATTAGGCCTCGACCGGTTTCTTTCTCTATGTTTGGAGCCACCGAAACCTGATTCCGAGCTGTTTAAAGCCGCCATCTGCTTCTGGTCAACGGAATCTAATTGTTTCGTGCTCCCATTGGGGTCAATGACGATCACTCTGCTCGACATAGCGGCCCTGACTGGTATATCAAAACCGCGTGTACAATCGAGGAGAGCTTTGGATCCAACTACCTCGATAGCTTTTGGCCGATCTTACAAATCACTCTACGACAATAACGCGCCGATCATTCCGGGTGAACCCGTATCCGACAGCAAGCGGGTGGCCTTCCTTCATTACTGGTTTGGTCGATTCGTGCTTTGCACCCAAAAACCCAACACGGATATGCATACCACCTCTGCAATCTTCACCGGCGAATGTGTCAATCTTGATGAAATTGTGTTCTGCCACCTCTATCGCGGTCTGTATACCATCGTGAACCGTATCAAGGAGACGACAGACGAAAGTGGCATCCTCAGTGCTGGACCTCTATGGCTACTACAACTTTGGTTGCATGCTTATTTCCCGGCGACTCGCGGCCCTCTGCCAGCTCTTCAAACGACAATTCAAGATACCACCATGCTCACATATGGCCATTGTTTGGCTAAAGCAGCTTCGCGAAAAGGGAATTTTACTAATTATTTTACCTTCTTTTATGAGTTCCGAGAGATCCCCAGCTTCACTCCTTTTGTGGAACAGATATTCGGCCCCGCTTCTTTCAAACTCATTTCTGACGAGCCACCACCGCGAGGTGATCCCGCTGTCGCCGCTTATCATGAATTCATCGAGGAGCGCAAACGTTACCGAACAGCTCGAGACCTCCTCTTTGCTCCTACCGGATCAGAAGTACTCAGCATTGAGACTTACAACCTCAACTTGCAGCTCGACAATTTAGCCTCGTTCAAGCGTGGCCTATGTTACCTCCCTCGTCCTTGAATTTTCCAAAATTCCACATCCGCCCTTCGGAGCTTACCGCTAGCCGGGTTGTTGAGGTACGAGGTGACCAAGAATCATCACATTACTTTCTCCCTCATAAAACTGTGGTAAACAAAGTCTCACCTCAATTCAAGGCTGCATGGAATTCACTAGCATCACGCATTTTTGGCAAGTCGTTACCTGACATCCTCGCCCGGCTTACTCCTGACCACGATGGCGGCTCAATCGCATCCGCATTCAATACTCTCTTGAAACGGCGAGCAGGTAAGATCCTCGTCCTCAGACTCCTCTTTATGCTTGCTGTGACATTCATATTCCAACTCCTGCATTACTCATGTACGTGTTCGCCGCCCTCTTGAAACTTTAATTAATGCAGTCATTGAGAGTCGTCATCCATTTACTCGCCCCCCTCCATCTCTTCGCACAACTCCCGTCATCGAGGTTAGCTTTACCCATGCTTTCTTATACTACCCGACCATCTTTTGGCCTCCTACTCACACCCTTGCTTCCTTTTGCAGCAGGGCACCGACGATTTTGGTACCGAGTACAGCCTCAATATTGCGATGGAATCATCTAGGACCTCCCTCCCCACGTCGTCTTCGCCCATGGCTGAACTTCGACACCGAGTCAAAGAAGCATTGAAGATGATGGATCAATTTCTTAGCATCCCTCTAGTGACTTCCACGAGTGGCCAAACCATAGTATGGCCCGGCTCTGCTTGCAAGACTCTAGAGACTTTGAGCATTAACATTCCACCACTTAGTGCTACTGACATGGAGTTCCTCCACACAGTGTGTAAAGACCTAGTGGAATGCGGGAAAGCCGTGGAACCAGCTCTGCAGGCGGCTAGAGCAAGTACAATGCCGAACCTCGTCAAAGGGGCTGAACAAATGCGACATGAGGAAACGGGCTTGATCGCCCCACTCGTGCAGAGATAGAAGTACAAGTTGAGCTGCAAGCAGCGCAAAGCTTTTTCACTCGGGTCCGCACTACTCTATCCCGCATTGCCCAGGAGCTCGCCGAGTACGAGCCGTCCGACTCCTAAGAGGACTTCTTTTCTGTGTCTCGTAATTTACCTCATATTTTTGTTTTTGCATCGTTTCTCGGATTGCACACTCTTATTTCGTTAGATTATCCTTCTCGTGCCATGTTAACTCGACCTATGAACACCTTAGTTTGCTCATCATTGCTTATCGGATTTCGGCAAACTCGCTCTCTTTTCTTCAATCCGCAGCCCCACCCTAACCTCGACGACTGTGTTTGAGCATGGCTGACTGGCTAGTTCTAGCCTACGACAGCATTCTTAATTTTTATATGCCAGGTACCAAATCGTCTATGCCAAACAACACTGTTAACCATGCCTACTTCTCGCGGCAAAAACGGCTTCGTTTGATAAGATAGGAACATTTTGGTACCGGACAGCAGTACCGCACCGGTTAGACTCGAGTGAACCCTACCGCTGGCCTTAACGGCATTAAAAATTTTATATTTTAGTAACGAAGCTGGCAAATTAGTGTATTTGTTGCATACTTCGCCATTCTCCTACTATTCAACCATGATGCAAGCTTGGTGGCCGACGAGGCCACGTCCTTTTAGCACATGGTTGATCGTCACTTCCCAGATTAATGACCAGTTGTGTCCCATAGGGACGGCACATATGGCTTTGAATATTTGCCATTTATCAAACGCTCATGCATCACTCCATCAAAGTCTTTCAGCAGGTACACTCCAATTTGGCGACCATTTTCCAAACTTGGGATCTTTTTCCCCAATCGGCAAGTGAGCTTTCCAAACCAGTTCGCCCTCCTCGAATGATTTGTGTCGAACCTTCTTGTTATAAGCTCTTTCCACTCTTTCTTTTTGTACTTGAACATTATCGAGGGCGCGGAGTTGAAGTTCATCAAGATCGTAGAGCTCAAGCATCATTGATTCATGATACTCCTCAGGTGTTAACTCGTGCTGCTTCATATACCGGAGTGAGTTGACGGTCACCTCCATGGGAAGGAATGCTTCATGACCATAGGTTAACGAGAATGGACTATCTCTCGTACTGCTCCGCGGGGACATCTTGTATGCCCACAACGCTTCTGATAAAATTTCATGCCAACGTCGCGGATTATCCTCAATCATCTTCTTCAAAAAAAATTTCACGACCTTGTTGGATGCTTCCGCCTGTCCGTTAGCTTGTGCATAATACGGCGTGGAATGGATAATTTTTATCCCCCACTCCGCTGCGAACTCCATAACTTGCCCCCCAGTGAACACAGTTCCTTGGTCCGCCGTTATTGTTGCTGGCAAACCAAATCGATTAATAATGTGTTCTTGTATGAAAGAAATCACTTCCTCTTGGTTCGCCACCTTCAACGGTTTGGCCTCCACCCACTTAGTGAAGTAGTCAGTGGCAAGGACCAGCTTGGTAGGCTCCGCATGTTCCTTCATGCACCTCTACCATGCAACGCCTCCTTGTCTCCCTAAGCATTTCAACAATAACCCATCAGGTCTGCGTTTATACAAGGTCTCATCAAAAACTACATAGCTCCTTACTCTAAACTTGACGGCATGGTCAATAACCTTGTTCGGATCTTGCAAGTAAGACAACAGTGGTGCACGCCAGTCGTCGGCGTCTTTCTCTATTACGCAAACTTGCTCAACTCTCAACTTCTCCCGCAAGGGCTTAAGTGTTTGCACCACTATCTTTTCTACGGCATTGCTTTTCGCAAACTCTTTAAATCCCTAAGCCATTTGTGCAAGATAGTTGGCTTCGCTATTGTCCATTCGAGGAACAAAGTTGATCGCCATACTGTCGAAGTGGCCAATCAACGACAATACATGGTCCAGATACGTTTCTAAAACGCTATTGATACAGCGAAAATCCCCGCGGACCTGATGAACCACCAACTGTGAATCTCCCTTAACATCCATGTTGCGGACTCCAAGCTCAATGAGCATTTCCAGCCCGACTACCAAAGCTTCATATTCATCTTGGTTGTTGGTGCAAGGAAATTCCAACGAGAATGCAAAATGCATGGCCCGGCCTGATGGTGCTTTCAACATCACGCCAGCCCCAGCACCGCCACGAGTTTTGGATCCATCAAAATACAGGATCCATGGTGTTATACCAACCTCGCAAACTTCCACGAGATTGCTTGGCACTTCAATGCAGGGATGATCTGCCAAGAAGTCTGCCAATGCTTGCCCTTTTATGGCTCGTTGAGGTACATACTCTAAATTAAATTCAGACAGAGCCAAGGTCCACTTGCCAATTCGGCCATGTATAATTGGCCGAGATAGCATGTATTTAATCAAGTCTGTTTGGCAAATGAGTTGTACCTGGACAGGGACCAGGTAGTAGCGTAGCTTTGTACAGGAAAAGTACAACGCTAAACACAAAATCTCTATGGGGGAATATTTTCTCTCGCCCTCGTTCAGAAGCCTACTTAGATAATAAATGACCTCTTCATTTCCTGCTTCATTGTCTTGAGCCAACAAACATGCAACAAAAGTGTCTGTGGCCGACAAGTACAACTTCAGCGGCACCCCTACTTTGGGAGAGTTAATTACCGGCGGTGTCACAAGGTAACTCTTGATATCATCAAACGCACGTTGATGTTCTTCCTTCCATAAAAACTTGTCTTCCTTCTTCAACTTCAGCAATGAGGAAAACACTTGAGTCCGGCCAGCACAATTCGAGATAAATCTTCGAATGTAATTTACCTGGTCGAGGAAACGTTGCAACTCTTTTTTACTAGATGGTGGTTCGGCATTGATGATGGCTTTTGTTTTACTGCCATCTACTTCAATTCCACATTGGTTTACCAGAAAACCAAGAAATTTTCCTGCACTCACACCAAACGCACATTTGAGCGGATTTAATTTCAACTTATGAACACGCATACGCAGAAATGCTTTGCGCAAATGAGCAAGGTGGTGGTTTGTCACCTTTTATTTGATGATGATGTCATCCACGTACACTTCGACAAGATCCCCAATCAAGTCATGAAATATTGCATTCATGGCTCGTTGGTAAGTTGCCCCAGCGTTGGCCAATCCAAATGGCATCATGATCCACTCGAAACAGCAAATGGATCCTGGACACCGAAACGTCGTATTGTGTACATCCTCCTCGGCTATGTATATCTAGTTATAGCCCGAGTAACAGTCCATGAAAGAAAACCTGGCATGCTTGGTTACGGCATCGATTAACATGTCCGCAACCGGCATGGGATACAGATCTTTCGGCGTAGCATTGTTCAAATTTCTAAAATCCACACAAACACGTATCTTGCCATTTTTCTTTCTAACAGGCACAATGTTCGACAACCACAACACATATCTAGCAGTCTTGATAAACTTAGCCTTCATTAAACGTTGAATTTCCTTTTTCACTTCAGGCAAGATATCATGCGAAAAACGCCTAGGTGGTTGTCTATGTGGCTTATACCCTTCTTTAATTGGAAGTCTATGTTCAACTAACTTCCTATCAAGACCAGGCATTTCATAATAATCCCATGCAAAGAAGTCTTTAAACTCTTTAAGGAATTCAATTAACTCGTACTTGTCAGACTCTGGCAAACCGGCACTGATAAAGGTTGGGCGTGGATCCTCTTCCGTGCCAAGGTTGATCTCCTCTAAAATGTCACATGCAGAAAGGTTGTTTTTCTTCTCCACTTCGTCACTCACACCCTCACCGTTAGTCGGCAAGTCATCATCGTCGGGAACACAGTCGGCCATCAAGACAGGCTCTATACAGACAAGCCTCTGTTCACACTGATAGACGGCCAACTTCTCCCGCAAGGCCGTGATCTCGGCCTCCACCACCTTCTCTCGAGGTGGTTCACTCATCATTGACTTGTTCATCAGATTTAAGTGGACCATCTAATGTGATCATCGATGGTCTCACGATATCGGACAATGGATCCAAGCACGCCTTACTCAACACCTGTGCACTTGACACTATGACGTTGGACGTTCCTCCTTCCCCGCTCCTGATTTCGAGTGGT